AAATATTTATTAACAGCGATGAGCAGACAGATGATTAGGACATGATTAACTTCTCCACTATGATCTATCGTACGAGATTATAAATTTTTACTTCTTGAATATGCGTATTTTCAAGATCGTTTCATCGCGCCTTTGAACACGGACCATCTAATTTAATAAATGTGACAGCCGTTTATCTTAAAAAGAAAAACGTCTCGAAGCCTCTACGTCACGCATCGATTTTCCCCAGCGAAATTCCGTCGACCTCCATTGTAGCTATTTTGTTTCTCACGCGATGCAACGTGTGCAAATTACATGCGAACAGGTCAGTCCAGCCGCAATGGAGGCAGAAACGAAAGTAGAATACAGGTCAATAATCTACTGGCGAGTCTCCACGGGACAAGTCGTCATTGTGAAATAGCCGATTTAATCGATTCCCTGGAAAAAAATGCCCCAGAACGTTCCCCTCCCATCCGAATCCCTTTGTTCCGAACCACTCCTGTACGAGTGGCTCTTTTCGTTTACACGAAGTTTGCGACTCGATCGAAGCGCAGTTAGTAATCTTAATTAATGACAGGTTTAATGCGACTCTCCCAACATTGCAGGGTATCGTTACCGCTCGATTCTCCCGCGCGACTGCTCTCCTAACCGACATTCTATTTCGCGTAAAAGCCCGCGGATTATTTATTCGCCCGTGAATCACCGCAGACTCGAATAAAAGCGATGGTGATTGCACTTCAACCGTATCGTTCGTTCGGATCAAACGCGCTTCATTTTCTACAATCACTCGTTTGTATATTCGCTTAGATACTAAATGGCTCGTTGTATAGACCGGTCCCTTTCTTTTGCCGGGAAAATGTTATTCGAGTTTGTATCAAATATTTTGAGTAGATTGTGACAACATTTTACCATCTATTCGTGCAATAATAATATATCAGTATTTTTATTCAGCATTTATCATTCAAATAACAGAGAAAATAATGAAAGGAATCCATGTATTAGGTTGTCCGAAAAGTTTCTTTCGCTTTATTAATAAGTAATACACGCACAATATTAATATTTTATGTTTTATGTTTTATGTTATATTACTGAATTCTGCACGATTCATTTTGCTCCATTACTGTTACGATATGAATATATTCATATACAGGGTGTCCCAAAACTCGGGGAGGAGCCGGAAATAGGGGGTAGCTGAGACGATTCTGAACAACAATTTCCTTTGCAAAAATGTCGGATGGGGCTTCG